AAAAACTTCGAACCCGGGTACGAGCTGCTGAAATGGGCTTTCTTAGACGAGTCGCTGGCCTTACGCGTCTTGACATGGTCCGGAATACTGACTTCCGGAAGAGCCTTGGGGTTCAGCCTCTGCTTCTCCAGATTGAGAAGTCACAGGTGCGATGGCTTGGGCACGTGTTGCGAATGCCTGCGGAAAGGAAGGCTAAACAACTGTTCCTTACAAATCCGACCGGCAAAATGCCCAGCGGACGGCCAAGATTAACCTTGTGCAAATATATGGAAGGAGCATGTTCCAGACTCCGTTTGTCTTTTGCCGAAGCTCTCAAACTCTGGCACAGGATCGGGAACGTTGGAGGCTGTCTCTGAGGTGACTGCCTCCGCGACCCGAAAGGAGAAGCGGCGATGGAAGATGAAGAAGAAGATGCTTAAATAAAGAGCAACAAACAAAGCGCATGATCATGAGACAAGGAATGAAGAATGATGATGAGGAAACGAATTGAGGACAGAAAATTAATGCAGATGAATATGCAATCGTATGGGTAACATGAATGATCGATTCGAGCCTGTTCCGCCTTTCTCTTTCCTCGTTCTGCAGAGTCCGAACCATTTGCGAACTCATAGATGTCTTTTATGCTTCAAACCTATTTGAGCCTTGCGGAATGAGACCACGAAGTGCCCTTTGAAACAGCGTGGTGCAGGAGTTGGTGAGGATCGGTTAGAAAGAACTTACCATGCTTTACAATAGATTTTACAGTCTGATCTGCCACGGCATTTGCGAAATTCATATAGGCCGTGTCATATACTCTGTGAACAGATTATGTGAACGGAATGGATTAATAACGGAAGATAAACACACAGGGGACAACATTAAGAACAAAAGGAAACAACGGGAATCTGATACTGTAGTCCAAACGTATTAGGCGAATAAATCCACCAGAATCAGGCTTCACGGCAATTTGCACGCCAACTTACTCTCGGTTACCTATTGGCATTTAAGCAGACCATGACTCAATGATATTTTGA